ATTTATAGATTGGCCTAGCAATAGCGTCTCTGAGAAGATTAACTTTAACACCGTCTATTTGTGGGAAGAACAATAAAAGGGGTATAATGCCTAAAAGAGTTTCCGTCAACAAAGAACTTATTTTAGTGTAGTCCAGTGTAAAGTTAGATAGGAGCGTTTAATAATGTTCCCCCGTGCACACCCTGCTGATTCATACTCAATAATTTTTGTTCTCGTTGCTAAGAACGCATTTTCGCCATTTTTATTCTGCTCTACGCCCTATCCTGCAACAAAAAATATGCTACAGAGTAGCCTTATAAATATTAACCTGTCCCTCATACGATTCAGGCGGTACCCATTCAGTCTTCAACCTACGTATGGATTGCAAATAAGCTCCTCAGAAATCACTTTCTAGCCTAACTTGCAAGCAAGCCACCAAGGTTTGACACTCCGTCTCATACTTGACACAAATGAAATAAGAATCTTTCTAGTGCAATTTGTTTCCCGTATTTAGAGTATAAGGTCCCAAGAGGTAACCGATAAGAATTTTCCAAACTCAAACCTTTGGTTCTTTCTGGATGAAAAATAAGTTTTTAAACCTGTTTCTTTGCCGCGAAAACTCATTTGTCAAGTCTTATGAGACTCAAGTACACTAGACTGACCTTGCTAGGCTATCATGATAACATATAAGTTCAATTTGCAGAATTCCGTCTATTGTTCTTTTGTTTCTTGGCAGCAGTTACATCGAGTCACCGCCGTTGGCAAGATTTCAAGTAATGGATAATCCTACTGATAAGCAAGACAAGGTAAGTAAGTCTGTCGTTTGTCTGTCATGCTTTTGTTTTAAATTTTGTTGTACCGCGTCGGAGGGTAAATACTAGAGGACCTAATATGCCGTCCGTAAAATGTGCTTCATGGGCAGCTATTTTTTAACGATCGACAGCATTCCTGTTTTTCACCTAGTCCACAGTAAGCAATAAAAAGGCGCTGATAGCTCCTAGGGCAAGAATGACTTGTATGGCCACATACGTAGTACACGGGAATAGGAACGCCCAATCAACTTTAAATACATGGCCGTGGCTAAATATTCCCATGTTTCAGCCCAAACATAAAACTAGACTGTAACCTTCATCTTGACCCTATTCGTGCCCTAAACCCAACAGTTAACATAAATCCAATCCCCTAACATAATTCTTTCTGGTTAGGAATATTTGGGGGTTAGCAGATTTGCTTAATTCGGTTGACCCAATTGTGAAAAATTATCGGCCTCGGGGGGAGTCGAACCCACACAGTAGAGAAAGCTTTACGTTCTACCATTGAGCTACGAAGTTCACCGTGACGACCCAAGTGTGATTAAATTCATGGCGCGAGGTGGGGCGTTTGTAGCTTAGTGGTTAGAGCGTTGGCTTCCGGTAAAGGCCTTCTCTACTACGTGGGTTCAAATTCCGCCAAACGCCTCGTATTTTTCCCAATTGGGTCAACTCAAATTAAGCAAATT